AGGGTGTTGCTCACTTCGACTCATTGTGAGGTTGATGGACGTCTTCAAGGGCTCAATTTGTGTAGATATAGGCTCTTGCTCATTATGAGCCAGAGTGATTGTCGCGGAAGATGAATGCAAACATCAGTATAAACTGAGGACAGTACAACATAGAGTCATATGCAGAACAGATATTGAATTCATCGTTTGACGAGATTGACAGTGAGTGTACACCACCAGAACCCTACAACCTCTGAGATTAAACCCTATTTTGCCGATCTGAATATCGCCCTGAACAGGCGTACCATGATCCGACCCATTGTCCGACATCGTCTGAAAGGAGGCCTCTCTAGATGATGAAACAGGAAAGATTAGACCACCACATGCTGACAGACCGATGCAGGGTTACTTCTGAGAACGGAGCAGGGCACGAAGCGTCTCGACCTCTCCCTCCAACCTGGCGTTGCGGACTTTAAGGTCGTCCCGCTCGGCTTTGACTTCCTTGAGTTCGGCCTCGAGGGTACTCATTTGATCGACGCGCTTTTGGCGGTAGCGACGGGCAGCAAGGGTGTTTGCCTTTCGCTTCTCAACTCGGCAGGAGGGTTCTGAGTCCTTGGGGCTGTTCTTTGTAGATGACAATTTGGACGACGAGATTTGCTCAGAAGGTGATGAGCTCTGATCCTTGTGACTTGTCGAGGAAGAACCAGACTGAGAGTAATCTACGTAGATTAGTTACTGGAGAATTGAGAAGCGTGGCGTGGTCTTTACCTCTGGTCATCAGCGCAGATGTGTTCATAGTGTTGATATTGCCCATGCCAGGCGGCATGGTAAGCATGTTCATGTTGTCTTCCGCGATCGAAAGTGAAGTAGGCCCGCCAGGAAGCAGTTGCGTGCCATCGCCAAGATATTGTGAGTCAGAATGGGGGAAGAGGTCCCAGTCTGGAGTGGTGTGGAAAGAAGGGTCCGGTGCAAGTAAGCCACCTGTCAAGGCGGCGGACGACGAAGTAGAAGAAAGAAGTGAAGGGGTATCGAACAGAGCACTGTTATTATCGGCGGTCGAGTAGGAGAGTGCGAACTCCCAATTAATTGACTGACTTCCAGGGTGGTTTGGCGACGAGACGGAGTTGCTGTGGCTGCCAGTACAGGCGGGCGAGTTCGCTTGGAACGAATCGCATGGAGAAGATTGAATACTGCATTTCGGGATGTTAAAGGGCGGGTCCTGGTACCCGCTGGTGAAATCGAAGAAATCGTCAAGTGAAATTGGAAACTATCTGAAGGCGCCCAGCACTGGGTGATGAGCGCGAAGTTTGGTGACGAGAGGAAGAGGAGCGCGGGGTGGCTTCTCTTTATACGGGAGGGCGGTGCCTAGGTGGGTTTGATTAGGGCTGATGGCTGATGGCATGCGCTAGCGGCCTACCCCGGTCGCAGTTTCCTGCAACTTTGAATGTAACCCGGCTGCGCCCACCAGCATCGGCAAGCACAGCCCACACCGACGACATGGCTACGATACACTCCTCACGATTACTACGGCCCAATCTCGCACTCGTGCAGCAGGACACGGTGCTGTCTTTCCTGGTGCCGTCGGTCCAATGCGCGCGCTTCTCCACATCACCCGCCCGATGGAAAAGAGACAACAACAGGGACAGAGGCAATTCCGCCGTCAGAGCTACCGGTCTGCGTCCTAGACAAACATTGTCGGTCAAGGAGAAAGATTTCGCAAAGCAGCGGTTGCCCAAGCCCGTCAAGATCGAGCAGGAAGTGACTGGCACACCCGACCACGGCCTGTGGGATTTCTTCAAGGACCAGCAGCTCCTACAGACACCAGTAGAAGAGCAGAAACATGGTAGGCTGCCATTGGTTCCGTGACGGGAAGCGGGTAACTGACAGAGGAACAGGAAGGTCGTGGACTGTTGGCGAGCTGCGCAGTCGAGACTGGGACACCCTGCACCAGCTGTGGTGGGTATGCGTGAAGGAGCGGAATCGTCTTGCGACCGAAAAGCTTGAGCGAAAGCGTCTGGACGCGGGCTACGGCGACTTCGAAAATGAGGAGCGAGACAAAACGGTGCAGGAGACGATGAAGGCGATTCTCGACACATTGGCCGAGCGACACCAGGCATACCAGGAAGCCTACGTGCTAGCGCAGAGCGATCCAGATATCGACTTGTCGAGGACAGACGGTCCACAGTACACTCAAACACCATATGTACGTACAACTTCTCAGGATGGCTATCCACATGCTGACCAATTTGTAGGAACCCGTAGAAGCAGACGAGACGCCGTACGAGACTCCGGCCGAGCAAACCATCGAAGAGCCCTCGAAAGACAAAGTACTTCCAGAACCCGAAGTGCAACCGAAGGAGAAGGTGAATCACGCATAATGAGGATCATGGGCGCAGGTGGCATATGCGCCTGGGTAGCTACCCGGCGAGGAATGTACCTGTTGAAACTTTTGCAACGGTACGGAAATCGTACAAATGTGACTACGATCATAAACGCATCATATATGGGATGGCGAACGGGGAGCACTGCTAGTGCAGTGAGGATGCTGTATAGATTAGGGTGGCCAGGGCGGCCTCTGTAGCATATCGCGTGTATCACAATCAGTCATGAAATCAATGAAGTGCACTAGTCAAGCGTATGCTAACCGCGACGAGTTATGAAAGTAATGCGAGCATAAACAGCCCTGGAGGTCGACCAGATTGGCGAGGCGCTTCCCAGAGAGAGCTACAACCCCACATCCATCACACCGCCTAGGGCTAACACCGCCTGTCCACGCGCCTTCTTAGCGGACACCCTCTACCGCAATCCTCAACTTTCTTATTCTGCACCCGACATCTGACAGCCATGGACGAGATTGCCCCCGAATACGACGTAGTGGTCCTGGGAACAGGTGGGTTGCCCTTACCCCACCTACGTAACGCTGCCGTCGCGGAAGCTAACTATCTCCAGGTCTCACGGAATGTGTACTTTCAGGGTAACACACGGACGCGTGCCAGCTTCCGAGTCCATACTGACATGCTTGCAGAGTCCTTAGTGTCAAGGGCAAGAAGGTGCTCCACATCGACCGCAACGACCACTATGGCGGGTATGTTATCTGAACAGGTACCCTGAGGGGCGAGAGCTAACAGGAAGCAGTGAGGCAGCATCGCTGAACATTGAAGCTGTAAGTTTTCGACAAGCCTGGCAGTCCAACACATGCTAACCCGGTGACTAGCTCTTCAAGCGGTACGGCCAGACCGAGGGCGAGCCATGGAAGAAGTACGGTCGCGTCAACGACTGGAACATCGACCTCGTCCCTAAGCTGCTCATGTCCAACGGTGAACTCACCAACATTCTCGTCTCCACCGACGTCACCAAATACCTCGAGTTCAAGCAGATCGCCGGCAGCTACGTACAACAGGGCAACGGCGCCAAGGCAACCGTCGCAAAGGTCCCCTCAGATGCCGGCGAGGCGCTGCGATCGCCTCTCATGGGTCTCTTCGAGAAGCGTCGGGCGAGGAACTTCCTCGAGTGGGTTGGCGCTTACAACGCGGATGACCCAGCGTCACACAAGGGTACGGATGCTCAAGTAAAAAGGAATAGAGAATGGTGACTGACATCTGACGCAGGCATCGATATCCAGAACTGCACCATGAAGGACGTATACGACAAGTTCGGCCTTGAGGCTACCACTCGCGATTTCATCGGCCACTCCATGGCCTTGTACCCCACCGACGACTACATCACACAGAAGGGGCAAGCAAATGAGGCCGTCCAGCGCATCAGGCTCTACGTCAACTCCATGGCACGCTACGGAAAATCGCCTTACATCTACCCGCTCTACGGTTTGGGAGAGCTTCCTCAGGGTTTCGCTCGTCTCTCCGCTATTTACGGTGGTACCTACATGCTGAACACCGACGTCGACGAGTTCCTCTACGAAGGCGACAAGGTTGTGGGTATCAAGGCCACCATGAAGGAGAAGGACGACGCTGGCGAGGGCATGAAGTTTGAGACCAAGGCAGGAAAGATCCTCGCCGACCCCTCATACTTCCCTGGCAAGGCGCGTGTTACTGGACATTTGCTCAAGGCCATTTGCATTCTGAACCACCCCATCCCCAACACAGCCGATGCCGACTCACTGCAACTGATCATTCCTCAGTCTCAGGTCGGACGCAAGCACGGTACGTATACACCCGTGTGCCCACAGAACCCTTGCTGACAGTTTCCACTAGACATCTACATCGCTGTCGTCTCGTCTGCACACAACGTCTGCCCCAAGGGCTACTACATCGCCATTGTCTCCACCATCGCTGAGGGCGACAGCAACCACCACCTTGAGCTCCAGCCCGGTCTTGACCGTCTCGGAAAGATCGAGGAGAAGTTCATGGGCCCAGCTATCCCACTCTACGAGCCAATTGAGAGCGGTGCCAAGGACAACATCTTCATGTCGAAGAGCTACGACGCCACCAGCCACTTTGAGACAACGACTGGTATGTTTCCGATGTCTGAAATGGTGCACGAAATACTGACATATGACAGATGACATCAAGGACATTTACCAGCGGGCCGAGGGCCACGAGCTGGTTGTCGAGGGTCTGAGAGAGGGCGCGAACTTCAATGTTGAGGAATAGACGGGCTCCACGAGGGGACGGATGATACAAGCATCAACGGTCTTTTAGGTATATCGTTTGGTAATCGGTAAAGACTTGGCTTCTACAATGACTTGCATTCTCAACATGTGTGAACGCGTGATGCTGCGGAGCTCGAGCTCGGTATTTCCTATTTGGGCGATGAGATCGGTCCCTTCCAACTCGACCACCACGTGCGTCTCGACGAACGTGTCAGTCCAGTCCAGATCAAGGTGGATAACAAGTCAAAGCTGCATCCATTTGTAGCGTATTGAGTCGTGATGTTGTACCTGTGCCTATGACGACGGTAGATCTTGGCAGGGATACCTCCATGGCTCCGCAACCATCTGAGTACTGCAACGCGTCCACAAAACGTGTCCTCGAAGCGCATTGCTGTTCCCACACTCCTTTACCATGGCGCAATTCGGTCGCTACAGGTTCCTGCTGGTAGCAGTGGTGTTCCATCTGGTGTACATTTATACAATCTTCAGCATACATTTCACAAGTCCAATTGTCCATGGCATGCGCGAGCACCGCGTGGAGACGCAGGAAGCTCCCGCGAAACGTTTAGTGCTTTTTGTTGGTGAGTCGCGTCAAATGGGCCTCCATTCAGCACTGACAGTATTACAGGCGACGGCCTCCGCGCAGACAAGGCTTTTCAATCGTTTCCCAACCCTGACCCCAATCCTCCGACCCCTCTCGCAGACAACACCAGCGACCCGCGACCTCTCGCCCCGTACCTTCGCTCTCGCGTCCTAGAACATGGCACCTTTGGCGTCTCCCATACACGCGTCCCCACCGAATCGCGCCCTGGACATGTTGCGCTCATCGCAGGTTTATACGAGGATGTCTCCGCGGTCACGACCGGGTGGAAGCTGAACCCAGTCAACTTTGACAGCGTCTTCAATCGAAGCCGGCATACATGGAGCTGGGGCAGTCCCGACATTCTTCCCATGTTTGAGGCGGGCGCTGTACCTGGGAGAGTCGACGCATACTGCTATGGTGCTGAAGAAGAGGATTCCTCCAAAGACGCCTGGGTGTTGGACGAATGGGTATTCGAGCGCGTCAAGAAGCTCTTCGCGGACGCCAAAACGAACGCGACACTGGACGCAGAATTGAGGCAGGAGAAAAACGTCTTCTTCCTCCACTTGCTTGGAATCGACACTACAGGCCATGCGCATCGTCCATACTCGTGGCAATACTTGCACAACATTCAGATCGTGGACCGTGGAGTTCAGGAGATTACGGAGCTGATTGAAGAGTTCTACAACGATGGCAAGACGTCCTTTGTGTTCACGGCGGATCACGGCATGAGCGACTGGGGAAGCCATGGAGACGGACATCCAGACAATACGCGCACACCCTTGATTGCATGGGGTGCTGGTGTTGCAGCACCATTGAAGAACGTATCAGGCGTTGCTAAAGGCCACACCGAGTTTTCTTCGGACTGGAACTTGGACGAGGTCGAACGACACGACGTTGACCAAGCCGACGTCGCGGCATTGATGGCGTACCTGGTCGGTCTGGACTTTCCCACCAACTCCGTCGGAGTCTTGCCGCTCTCTTACCTTGACAAAGACCCCAAAGCCAAGGCAGAAGCTCTTCTTGCCAACGCTAAGGAAATACTGGAAATGTATCACGTCAAAGAGGATATCAAGAAGTCGACACAACTCCACTACAAGCCGTTCGCTGGCCTTGGTGACGACGCACATTCTGTCGAACATCGCATTGCGGAAATACAAGCTTTCATCGACAAGGGCAACGATGTCGAAGCTATCCGTGAGACTTACGAGCTCATCGACCTTGGTCTCGAAGGATTGCGGTACTTGCAGACGTACGATTGGCTCTTCCTACGGACGCTGGTGACTGCCGGCTATGTCGGATGGATTGTGTTCGCCATTACGACTGTCATTGACTTGCATGTGCTCACCGAACATGTGCCAGCACAAAGAACGGCGGCCAGTATGGTGGTGTTCTCTTCTGTGTTTGTTGCACTCTGTGGAGTATTTTTCAAACAGGAATCACCGATCGTCTACTACGCATACGCCGTTTTCCCTGTCTTGTTTTGGGAGGAAGTCTTTGCGCAGAGGCTGTCGCTCGTCAAGGGCGGCAAGGTTCTGTTTGGTCATCTGAACTCAGGCGCCGATATTGCGAAACTTGTTCTTGCGACTCTAGGCTTTTTTGGTCTCCTCGAGGCTTTGGTACGTAGGCCATGCACAGAAAGCCACGATGGTACTAACTTAGAGATAGGTCCAAAGCTACTTCGTCAGGGAAATTTACACCGTATGCTACCTGGTTGCAACACTATGGCCAGCAGTCTATGGACAAGAGTTTGTGAAGAAGAACATGGCGACAGTCGCCACTTGGGTCCTGTCTTGCGTGGGCATGAGCGCTTTCACACTACTACCAGCCAACAAGGCAGAGGACACTCGCCTGATGTAAGTGCGTCGCCCAGAGGAATTGATCTGGGACTAACAACCTGCAGTCTTCTTGGAGGTGCGTTGATGTTTGTCATCGGCGCGCTTTACCTGCTCTTTGAGAAGAGCATTCTCGAAGACGGTAAATCCGAAGCCGAACTCGCCAAGCACGAGCTCAACAACAACTCTCGTATCATACTGGGCGTCCAGCTCGGTCTCGTAGTACTGTCCATGATTGTGACGAAAAGCAGCAGCGGATACCTCCAAGCGCGCGTAGGCATACCATTTGGTGTTCTGACAGTGACACGAGCAACGCTGTTGGCCTCACTTGTCGTCCCTCAACTGCATGGTCTATACCCCAACACCCACTACGTCCACCGCCTCGTAGTCATCTTCCTGCAGTTTGCGCCGACATTTATCATTCTCTCCATCTCGTACGAAGGGCTATTTTACTTCGCCTTCTGCATGTGTCTGTTCAGCTGGATGCGCCTCGAGCACCAGGTGTACCTGCATAACACGGCCAACCCATCGACTGCAGCCATTACATCGGATCCGGCCAAGCCTACCATGGACGCTGCGTCTGATCGCCTCGATTCGCTCCAAAAGGGGGAGTACAGAACATTGACACTAGCCGACGCCCGCATCGCCCTCTTCTTCATCTTCTTCATCCAGTCGGCCTTTTTCAGCGCATCCAACATCGCTTCGGTGTCGTCGTTTTCGCTCGACGCCGTCTACCGCCTGGTCCCCATTTTCGATCCCTTTTCTCAGGGCGCACTTCTCATGCTCAAGCTCATGGTGCCATTTGCGGCTCTCTCGGCCAATTTCGGTCTGCTCAACCGCCGTCTGGGTGTGGCGCCGTCAGCCCTCTTCATGGTGGTGATGGCAGTCAGTGATGTCATGACACTGAGCTTCTTCTACATGGTCAAGGACGAGGGCAGCTGGCTGGAGATTGGAACGACGATTAGTCACTTTGTTATTGCGAGCTTGTTGGGTGTGTTTGTTAGCGGACTCGAGATTTACAGCGAGTGGACTATTCGGGGGGTGGAGTTTGGCGGTAGCAAGAAGACGCAGGGGAATGGAACCGTCAACGGAAAGACTAGTGGGAAGGTAGAGTAGTTGGTGTGTAGTTGTAGTGCGTTTAAAATTAGTTTCGTATGCGAGCGTATGGTCACCTCATACAAGGGAAAAGCTCAACAAGTGCGCTGAAGTCGACATTACTATACAAACACCAGTTTGAGAATTGTCAAGGCAATGTAGTCTTATCAGTTCTGCAGAAGTAGCTGTCCAGTTTTCTTTTCGACAGGGTTTGATGTGCCAACCCTGTTGAGATAGGGGAAGCAATGGTCGAAAAGTATGGTTCACTACGGCAACGGTAGGATCGCTGGACGCGCTGTACCAAACACGCAGGAAACGCACGTTGACTGGAGCTAGGAAGATGCATGCTTCCGAGATGAGCTTAGGTTGCCGGGCAACATTGCGCTGTGCAAGTACCTGAAGCGGTCGTGATGCTCTGGAAGCGACGGCAGGCCGCGTGGGGAAGGCGAGGTCGCTTGAAGGAGCATCACCGTGCTGTCTCGTTATCAGGCGAGATGGGCGGACGGCAGGCTCGAAGCGGTCTCGAGAGGTGTGATGTGGCTGGGGACGGGCGGCTGGGAAGGCTCGGCTCCACAAACTAGCGGGGCCTGCGGATGCTGCGCTGGGCGGCATGCGAGGATGGTCCTACCCAACGCACGACTATACAAAGCCTACGCTCGTCAACAACATCCGTTCGGCGCATTATTACCTCCGCTACCGTCTGCGGCGCATTGTTTACGTCCATCGCTCCGCAAAAGACATATAGTCCGTCTTGTGCGACGCGCCGTGTGTGTGTGCAACGCAGCGCATCATCGATAGTCGTGTTATCGTGTCTTGGAACCAGGGGCCTGCCCCAACCACCGCCGCCAACAGCAGCCCGTCGTTCAACCTCGCACATTTCCTGCGAATCGAAAGCCTAAATCCCACACGCCCAACCATTCTTTATTCGTATCGTCAGGCGCAATCTCGCTTCCTCTGAACTGTCAGCTTATAACACCGCCGGCCTTCACCCTTCGCTGCAGACTCTTCTTTTCGCATAATGTTCTTCAAACGGTAAGTCGGACCTGCTACGCGCTGCATCTGGTGACGCGCACTAACTTTGCATAGTCGGTCCCGAGCCAATTCTTACGTCGACAACAGTGAGAACCCGCGCTCGCAGTCATTCGACGATTACACAGATAAGCGCCCCGAGTCGAGCCGTAAGGAGTCCCACCACAGCCAGCCCTTTTCCCCTACCGAGGAGCCGGACATGTATCCCCGCCAGCAGCAACCCCAAGAGCCGACGTACGCGCAGAGTGCTCCCCCAACCCACAACAACATGCCCATCCGCTCCCAGCAGGTGCCCCCGACCGGCAGCAGCGCCCCGATGGGGCTCGGCATGCCCGACCTCATCACCGCTGCCTTCAACCAGGCCGTCCAGCCCTACACGGAGAAGATCGAGCAGCTCGAGAGCCAGCTCGCCGACATGCAGAACTGGGTCGACCAGCTCGAGCAGCAGCGCGCCGAGGTGCACAACTGGATCGACAAGCGCGGACTGCGCCCAGGTAAGCCACCTGCACTGCTCGCTGCACCACTTTGTACTGACCTGCCCAGACGTTCCTGCCTCAATTGCTAAGATCATGGACACCACCACCGCCGATGCGGCGCCCACACTCAACGCCCAGCTCGACCGCAAGATCACCATCGTCAACTTCGACCTGCACCGCCTGCAAGACGACCTCAACGACTCCATCTCCTCGTCGCACTTTGCCTCGGCCATGCTGAAGTTCCTGCCCGACATCCAGCGCCTGACACTGCTCCCGTCCGGCCCGCGCTACGCCTTCGACCTCATCCTGAAGCTCGGCGGCAACCTCAACTCCCACGGCGGCATCGACAGTGCTGACGCCGGCGACATAGCAGCCCGCCGCGACTTCTACAACAGACTCGACGAGACCATGGTCGATGTCGTGCAGCGCCGCTTCGGCGAGGGCGAGGGCTGGGACGTCAAGCGCGAGATCAAGCGCATCGAGAAGACCGCCAGCTACCTCAAGACCTACGGCGTCGAGCCATACTTCCCCTCAACGCTTGAGATGATGAAGCGCGAGATGGAGTTCCAGCCGCACCCCAACGGCGGTGTTCCCAATGGCGGAACAGGAACCCCACCGCGGTACCATTAGATCTCTTGAGTGTGTGAGCTGAGGTGTGCTGACAGTCTGTAGCTCGGGAGAGTCGATCGAACAGAGGATAGAAGCGAGGCTGGCGAAACTAGCACAACTCACGCAAGCTATCAAGAAGTGTCGAAGTGCGCAGGACAGCTTGGGCCAATTGCATCAGTTCGTCGACCACACACCCGGGCGCTCTTCGGGGCCTCCCCCGCCGCTCCCTGCACGGCCTCCGCCTCAGCCGCCTACGAGAACTGCGCCACCTCCACCCGGATCTGTCTCGGATCTCTGTCTTGGTGGTGTTGGCGCCGCTCCGGCTGCTTGATGAAACTTTGTACTTAATACTCTTGATTGAACGAATTTCCTTGATGTGTTGCATGAAGCGGGGAAGGGAAGGAATTGGGGGTAAATTGGGGTGTGGTTCTTCTTCTGCATCATACCCGAGCATTTTTGGTAAACGGTGGCGTTTGGGAATTGGGTAGCCTCCTGCATGTAGCTCGCGGCGTACATTTAGTATAGTTGTCGCTTCTTTTGAAGTAGTAATTGAGAACATGACTGAAAACACTTGTCTGTAGCGTACATCATTGCAAAGTGAGTGACTCAAGGTCAACGTAGGCTCCAGGGTGTTTAGTTTTCTCTTTTAATGAGGTGGGAGAGGATAGAGCTTCTAAAGTCTTGCTTGACTGGACTGCATGCGCTCAAAAACACCATTCGCTAGAAACGTGGTGATGCACTGACAGCGCACATCACCGGGCCTGCATTATGGAAGAAACGAACCCGAGGTGGACATGCACTCGCTCAGCTTCTTTGCGGATATCAGGCGTAGCGGCTTGGCAACAGTGTGTCTGTGTATAAAAGATCTACTGCTGCTACTCACTGTCTTCTCCTTCATTATCTCAGTCTGGGTGTGATACTCCAAAAACTTAGCATACCGGTCCTGATGTTCTGTCTGCTCCTCCTTTTCCAAAATGTCGTTGACAAAGTACCGATGAATTTCTGCTCCGCTCTCTCCTCTTCTTTGAAAATAGTCAAATCCACATGTCATACAGTACATGAGTCCAGAAAGACATCGAGGCTCTAGTAATGTCGCGATCTTCGAGATTGGCGAAAAACAAAACTACTCATGGTCTCCACATGTGGATTTCGAGTGTCCAAACGATAACATGGAGTAATGCATGTGGGCGCTGGTGGAACTCTGGTTTTGAAACATTTCGAAAAGTCAAAAGCTAAGATAGCATGAGCTTTGCGGGAATATTTTACGCTTTACTGCTCTTTTTGCGCGGCGCTGTCGTGGGAGATGGGTATAAAATCCACTCTTCTGCGCCTTTGAACCTTACTTCCTATACCACGCTTTCTGATTAAGATTCAAAATCACCGAAGCACATGAAATGACTTGCTGTCTTTGTTCGAACAAAAAAAGGAGAACATTGCGCCATGTCTGCTCTGCGCTGCCTTCCTCTCTTGTCATGACGACGTTCAACCAAAGTCGATCTTCTCAAAAGTCAGGCACAGAACGCTAATGACTCCGTTCCTCCCGCCGACTGTCGAAGTCATACTTGAGAGAGCTGATCAAAAGACTAAGAGTTCGATATATGGAGATCGCTGCTGTTGCGCTGGCTGGACTTGGAAACGTGCGACACACACAAAACGGCACGGTTGTCACCCACATGTTGGGAGAAAGAGCAGTGAAGTTGACGCACCGAACTTCTGGCGCCATCTCGGTATGCATACCGCGTTTGAGAAGCGATATGAAAGCTCTTCTGCCCTTTGCTCTTCTTGTCTCCTCAGTTTCTCTACGGTCTCTTCCGATTTACCAAATGTACGCCAAGCATGGACATGTTCTGCCTTTCGTTCTCTCCCAAAAAGGAAAATGCTCGTCAAGTTTCCATCACCAGAAAATACTGGCAAACATTTGCATGTCTCTTTGTCGTCTTTGCTGTTCATACTTCGAAATGCCGAGTGCACCGCTGCTTGCACCGTAATATCCGACAAGAGTGTTCGAAATATGGTACAAGAGGTCCTATGTCTTCCAGCGACCTAAATTTGCATCATTCCAAAGTCTACTCGGCCGTTCCGCAACAGTCTCCAAAATAGACCCAGTCAGCTGCGATGGCTGCCTGCTCGAAAAGCACTACGGTGGAACATAGGGCGAGTCTCGAAACATTCTCATTGATACATACCGAGGCGACTGTAGCAGAAAGTTATAAAAGCTCCGCCAGTTTCTGTCTTCCTACTTTCTCTACAGCCCAGAACTCGAAGTGCTTTCCTTCAAAACACGGGGCACTCCACTTAATGGTTTCTCCTCTTCGAAAAGATCAAAAACGACTACCGTGGTTTCCTCCTGCCTTTGCTTCTCCATCTCTTTCCACCAAAGGAAATTTCGCCTTCACCTATGATCCTTCCGCTTCTCTCTGCTCGAAATCTGATATCCTATTGCACCAAAAGAAACCAATAAACAGAATATGTTCGAGAAGGCAGCAAAACCGAACTTGAGCAACGCTATGGCTCGCCTGCGCCCTGCGGTCTTCAAATACGAAACAAACTGTACAGCCTGGACATGTACATACGCTTGAGTGCTGAGGATCGCACCGATGGCACAACGCATGTTCGAGTGGAATCTATCGCACTGACCTTGGAACAGTCTTGCAGGGCGCGGGGAAAAGGATGCAATGTTTACTTTTCACTCTTCTCTTGGTACCTCGATCATAAGATCAACTCCTTCTTTTTAAACTACCAAAACAGCATGGATAGAGTTCCATGATCTGCTCCTCTCGAAACAGACCTCGGGAAGATTCAGAAACCTATGGTTTAGCGCTCTGCTCTCGACATCTACAAACTCTCAAGCACTCTCTGGATGTTCTTGCCGTCGCGAACTCCGCTTTTTAAATAATTACGTCAAAA